GGCGGACCATAGACATAATATTATTAAAACATCCTAGATCACGCACACTGAGGTGTTTCTGGTGCACTATGGCCCGTATTGTTTGACTCAATTTGAGCCAAATGAAAGGATCGACTTTAACGAAACTGGTGCATAACCTTCATTTATTTGGCGCCGCAATGGCACGGCTCGTAGTGCGCATGTTTGCGGCAAAGTTTATTGTAGAGAGTGAAAAGTGCTAAACATGGCAGCGTGCGATCTAGGACTACAAGTCTATGGGACAGACCAACCATTCTCCCCGGGGCGGTGCCACTGACTGAAGTGTCTTTAGGCCATTCCCAAAGGGGGGACATTTCTCGTTCATGCACAGCAGAACTGTAAATGGGCAGATTCATAAATGTCACGCTCATAACTGTGCCTGATCTACAACAGGGAACTGCTGCTTTTTCTTTCCTAATTCTTACTATTGTCATTTTCCTCTACTTCTTTAGTATGTTTGACACACTCTTGTGACCCAATATTTCCGGGGTGCCTTGATAATCGAAGCAGACTTTATGCTGTTGAAGCTAGAGAGGTGAGCAGAGTAATTCTGATTCCCTGTAAGGATTTCTTTTACGGTACAAGCAACAGATGTAGGTCGTATAAATGTCAAACTTTCAGAGTGTTTCTAGAGAGTAATATACAAAGAAAAGAAGGAGGAGAGATACGGACGATAGATGTTGGATAGGAAAGAAAGAGCAAACCACACCTGAGCACCAGCCAACCGCCCACTTCCCTAACTTTAGATTCTGTCTATCGAGACTTGGGATCGGCGCAATTATTATACTGTCTACATCTCCGACCAATCCCAGAAGATCTTCCACTCTTTCAATGCCTCCGTGTGACGTAGCCCGTACCCCAATGCGGCCACAGCCCTCATAAAATCGTCCTTCAAGTAATAAGACAAGCTTTTCACACATTTCTGTTCAGTTATCGCGTTGGTGGCAGGCTAGGCCTAATGTGTCAAGGAAATTGTTTATACACTGTCCATCTGCTGAAGAGCGATGTAAAACTAGAAGAAATTAGCAACTGTAGTAACAACGGGAATATTTAACGCTATTCATTTTTTTTCTTTCAATTAACTCGAACGTGTTAACTCAGCTGTCGAGATGGAAGGACAAGGGAGGATTGTGTTAGGTT